TGCGAGTATGCATGAAAATTCAAATTTTGAAGCAAACTCTTATGGAGGTGCAGAGCATGGAAAGTCAATATTTGGAGCGGAGACTTGCATGGACAAAGTTGGGCATTCAATCCAAAGAAGGAATGGAATTAGATGACGCATCTGATGACGAAGAAGAGGACGTCAATCCCTTGAGGATTCTAAACCAAGGACAAAATTGGGAAGTACGACCTGGAAATCAGTTCACTTTTGAAGAGATATCGAGATGCAAATCAGCATTCCTGACTTTGATGTCTATGATCATAATCCAGTTTGTGATGATGAGCCGACTTATGATGATAATCTAATTTATGATGATTATCCTATTATTGATAGTTATCCCATTTATGATGATTATCCATCTTATGATGAAGATTCAATTTATGATAAAGATTCAATTTATGATGATAATCTTGTCTATAATAAATCTGATGGTGAATTAGATTATGAAGATCTCATAGAGGAAGATTTATCATTTGAATTTTTGTCTAAAGAAATTCAGATCAGTGGAGATAAACAAGATTCGAGGACGAATCTTTTCCAAGTGGGAGAGAATGATGCACTTACAGTTGGCCCATTGCACATGGTCCAACTATTGATTCAGGAAGCCCAGAGTCAACCAGAATTGTGGCCCAATAAATATGGCCAAATTGTTAAAAGAAGCAGTAATTTGAAATATAACAAATTACAATCAAACCCAAGTCTAAATGAAGCATCAGATATGATTGTGATTTGTTCGACAAGAAAAGGAAAGCAACACATTTGCCATGATTTGAGATATAAGATTTGGGAAGTATTTTCAATGATTTAATTGTAATTATTTATTTATTTTTAGAGGTTAATTGTCGTTATGTTTAATTTAGGAATTTTCCTTATTTTTAGGATTTTAGAATTTTGATAATTAGAAATTGAGAACCGGAGGGTTACTCTTTTGTGAAATCGTTACTTTCTGTTTAGCCACTTTTCTATGCGCTTTCGGCATCATTTGGTATCAGAGCACTAGGTTGCCTTCAACCAATGGCTGAATAGAATCGTGGAGGTCGACGACGGCAGAGTCACGAGAGTATAGAGGATCCAAAAAAGGGAACTGATTTAAAAAAGGAGACATCCGCCGAGATAAAGTATCGACGTAAAGTGGGAGAGTAGCAACGGTAACCCTTCTTAGACCGAGGATAACCCAGAAAACACATTTATGAGACTTGGGAGCTAATTTATCCAAACCTGGACCAAGATGATGAACAAAACACGTAGAACCAAACACATGTGGAGTTAAAGGATATAAAGCTTGATGAGAAAATAAAATAGAGTGAGGTACCTTATGATTGAGAACAGATGATGGCATGCGATTAATAAGATAGCATGCAGTAAGTATAGCATCACCCCAGAATGTGTATGGAACATTACCATCAATTAACAAGGCACGAGTGGTTTCAACCAGATGGCGATTCTTGCGCTCGGCTACACCATTTTGTTGAGGTGTATGAGGGCAAGATGTTTGATGAAGAATGCCATGAGATGAAAAGAATTGTTGAAATTGATGAGATAAGTACTCACATGCATTATCACTACGAAAAGTACGAATAGGAATACCAAATTGAGTTTTTATTTCATTATAAAATAACTGAAAAATAGAAAACAACTTAGACCGCTTTTTCACTAAAAATAACCAAGTACATCTGGAATAATCATCAATAAAAGTAACAAAGTACTTAAAACCCAAAGTAGAAGAATGATGACTTGGTCTCCAAACATCAGAGTGGACCACAAAAAAAGGAGAAACAACTTGACGACTAAGACGACTCGGAAACGTACTACGAGTATGTTTCCCAAACTGACAAGACTCACAATTTAAAGTAGAAAGAGATGATAAATGGGGAACCATCTTCTGAAGCTTTGCAAGACTAGGATGGCCCAGACGAGCATGGATAGTAAGAGGAGAATCCATAGTGGAGCAGGCTGAAGAAGAGGGAACTAGTTGATAGAGGCCCTGAGACTCACATCCTTTGGTAATCTCCTTCCCCGAACTCCGATCCTGAAAGATGACAGAGGTTTTAGTAAAAGATACAACACAGTCAATGGATTTGGTCAACCGACTAACAGAAAGTAAGTGAAAAGGATAATCGGGAACATATAGAACATGATCCAGAGATAAATTAGGTAAAAGAAGAACCGTGCTAGTCCCCCTTGATTGGACCAGAGACCCATTGGCCATAGTAAAAGTGGAAAAAGAACCAGTAGTACAAAGGGAAGTGAATAAGGACTTATTACCAGAAATGTGATCAGAATTCCCAGAATCTAGAGTCCAAGGGCCAATAGAGTGCAACTGAGATATGCTAGCAAAAGAATTACCAGAATTACCAGTGGGAGCAATGGATGCAGTAGGACCTGATGTTTGCTTCTCAGACCACCAAGTCACAAATGATTTTGCCTGACTCTAAATAGCTTCACAAGTAACAGCAGGTCGAAAAATCTGCTTGATAAACGGATGAAGAGTAGCTTTAATGAGACTACACAACTGAGCATAAATCATCTTCCACCGTGAGCGCTCCATTTCCGCCGCAGATTCAGCCTTAGTGGTGAGATGGGATGTATAATTCTGCCATCCAACCAAAGTCGCATATCGGAAGACCAACTGTCATAGTTGGACCCATCCAATTTATCCACACTCAACGGAGCAAGGATATAATTGGAAAAAATAGTAGACTCCGACTTTTGTCCAGTCGGAGTCCCAGAACCAGGAACATTGGAGACATGAGGGTCCATAAACAAAAAGAAATCAGAAAGAACAGATCACAGAACTAACCGGTAGAAGAGGGATCTGTGTGTCAATGCAAAAAGATGTCGAAACAAAAAAACAAGACCGGATCCAGAATTGTCTCAGCAAGACGAAAAAATCGCAACCCGCAGCGGCCCAAAAAGCGGCTCCACGCGCCTCCACGCGCCGCCTGTTGGAGGAGGGTGCTGAAAATTGCACGCCCGCGTGAGAGCGCGTGGGTGGTCTTCTGAGGGTGCGGCCGGTGCCGGTGTGACCGCGTTGTCAAGACGATCACGGCGGTAGGCTGCGTGCCTGAAAATTCCACCGGACGGTGGTGGTTGACGATACAGAAGCGTGAAGTGGGAGAAAATCGTTCGGAAACTGACAACGAGACAGTTTCAGAAAAAAAATCTGTAAAATACGATGAACAGTGGGTTCAACGGAAAAAAAAAATACAAATGTTCCTTAGGCTTTTGATACCATGTAAAGAACCTTGGGATACACAGCCCAAAAGCTAGCTCAAAGGGTGGGAGTGCCCAAGGTCTTATAAACTTCACATTAGTTGTACATACAACCAATGTGGGACTATATATCTCAACATGGTGTTCTACGCTTACATTATTTGTGATATATAGTATTTGAGTTCATTTAAATTTTTCAAATTGGATATTTAAAAAAATTAAACTTGCTTCAATTAATTTTATGTACTTCAAATGCTTTCTTTATGTGGATTGCAGAGTAAGAATTGATAATTTTATTTTAAATTCAACACAAATCCTTACGCAATTTCACAAAAATAAATATTAAGTCAATTACCTACGTGTGCGATACTTATTTCATTTTACATAGTTTCAACTGCCTTAAAATTTAGGAAGAGAAACGGTAAGCAAAAGTGAAGGAAACTTGTTTGGTATAGGTTTTGTTTGAGTTTGATGGAGAAGTGTGGGCGACAATTGAATTTGATCACGTTTGGTTTAAGTTTTGGGGAAAAAAAATCATGCATATAGAAAGTCTGGACAACGACTTCATAGTTGTTTTTTTGGATAAAATTAACTATTCTAAAATACCACTTCAGATGTGATATTTTAAGATAGGTGGAGAAGTGGAAAAGGGGATGCCAATTTTAGAATCAAAATGACCCTGTGCATGCGTGTAAAGTGAGAGACTTTAGTTATTTTTTACAATGGGGGTATTTTAGTCAATTCAATCTATTTTCTCATCATTATTTTACTTTCAACCAAATATAAATGTCGCAAATTTACCTAAATTTTTTCGATAATATTTTAATGAACCAAATATTTTTAAATTTTTCCATCAAACTCATTTTTCTATTAGTTACTTTTTTTTTTTCAGTAAAAAAAAATATCTGCAATATGAAAAAGTGAAATCTACATAAAGCAGAACGCATGCTGTTGGAAAGCAGAACACATGGTATTGGAATCTACATAAAGCAATAACCATCATTACATTGAAACAGTGAAATATAATCTGAAAAAGTAGCTTTTGTCATTGAATTACAAATAATTAAAAGCTACTACAATATTCTTCTCTCATTGATCTCAATTATCACATCATTATTACAAAGAGAATATTATTCACCCTCTCTATTATAATTTTTTCCCTTCGTTGTCTAGACTCCTATAGTTTCAAAGTTACGGTATTCACCTTAATATAGTTTTCTCTTATGTTGTGTTGATTTAATATCATTGTTACTAAAATTGAATAAGATCGGCCGATATAACTAGTTTAACAACAAGAAACCAAACCATGAGCCAGTCGAATTAATTTCTTTGGAATTTAGAATTTAGAATTAATTTCTTTTCCGGCTTTTCATTTTTTGAATCATACTTTGGTTGTTTTATATATGATCCAGTATGCATGTATGACGATATATGCATGTTTATACTTATGTTAATAGTGTTATTTTTTTCCACAATCAATTCATGGTGTTCTACGCCTACATTATTTGTGATATATAGTATTTGAGTTCAATTAAAGTTTTCAATTGCTTCAATTTTATGTGATTCAAATGCTTTCTTTATGTGGATTGCAGAGTAAGAATTGATAATTTTATTTTTAAATTCAACAGCGTTACGGAATTTCACAAAATTATTATTATGTCAATTACCTTATTTCATTTTACATAGTCTCAACTGCCTTAAAATTTAGGAAGAGAAAAGGCAAGCAAAAGTGAAGGAAACTTGAAATGACTACCCTCTATTAGCTTTATCACCTAATGTAATATTGGAAAGCAGAACACATGGTAATGGAATCTACATAAAGCAATAACCATCACTGCATTGAAACAATGAAATATAATCTGAAAGAGTAGTTTTTGTCATTTAATTACAAATATTTGAAAGCTACTACAATATTCTTCTCTCTTTGATCTCGATTCTAGCTGAAGGATAGACTTTTTATTGAAAAAGAGAAGTTTATATATGTAGAAGATTAAGTTATAGAAGATTTATATTCCATTACATTAACATTGGAACCATACCTTGAATCCATCAAACTTGGACTCAACCTAAACATGAGAATGCAGAATTCCATTTGGTTAAGAGCACCATCTCCATCCAAATCACCTTCCATTAGCATGCACACGAGCTCATCATCGCTGACCTCTAAACCAAGCAACAAAGTGTTCATCTTCAAGCTCTCGAACGTTATGAGGCTCTTGTTCACATCCATTAGCAAACGAAACCCGTTGCAGAGTTCCCCAATAAACCCTTCTGCACCAAAGCGTGCAATCATGGATGGAAAAAAGTCCTCGAAGTCGAAACCATAATCTAGTTCCATCATTGAGTGAAACTCAACGATGATAAGAAGATTGGTATATAGCTCATGATCATAGAAGAGTGTGAACAAGAGTGCTTGATGTGAATGATGAGGTGAGGGTATTATATAATAAGGAGGAGGAGGGTAATTAAGAAACCGATTGGTACGGTAAATCAATTATGGTGATTCTGTTGCGTAGCTTCTTGCGGCTTTCATAATGCGACAAGATGCATTCTTTTTATTGGCAACTGAAATAGATATTCTTCTTAGAAGATGCCTTGCGATGACACGGGTGACGATCGATATATAATAAACAATTTGTAAAAATATGCAGCCTTAAATAATTAATTAAATAATATTATTGGTGTCGAAGCATGGATTTCATAAAAGTTATATATAATCATGGTAAGATAATTATTTAAAAAGTCGAATAATGCTTAAGTCATTTTTCTGATAAAAAGTGCAAATACCGATTTTGCTTTACGATATAAATGGATACCTGAGAAGTAACTCGAAAAACAAAAATATAAATATAAATATTCCTAGAAAAATATCTAAGTCAAGAATATCAAATTTGAGAAGAAAATAATAAGCAGTGATGTCAGAACTAATACCAGCTATTTCGTAGTAGAAAATGCGTACCAGCAAAGTGTATCGAAAAATTAATGTAAAAATATGATAATTCCTAGAAAAATATCTAAGTTAAGAATATAAAATTTCAGAATTAAACGATGAGAGAAACTAATTAAACTAATATTGTTAGTTTAAGTGTGTGTGCCACTATAAATGGGTGGGCACAAAACCCTAGGTCAGAATGTTACACTTCTATGTAGGTGCATTCTTGGTTTCATGAGTGCCACTTTCTTCCATGCAACTCCATAGCCTTCCTTGCATGAAAATCACCCAAGACACTACTTTTCTACTTGATTCTTTCTCTTTAACCTTGGAAACACTTGAGAGCAAACTTGGAAGGATGTAGTGTATTGATCCATAGAAGTTTATGTTTTCCACCTATATGCTTGATGGAGATGCACATGAGTGATGGATGAACACCTCTCAGGCGTATGAGATGCAGAGCCACGTGATTGCTTTGCCATTCTTTGAGGAGCTGTTCTTTGAGAGATATTTTCCTTACGATGCTCACAAAAGGAAGCAGGGAGAATTTGAGCGCCTAGTGCAGGGCTCTATGACTATTGACGAATACTTGACTAGGTTCAATGAACTGGCCAAATTGCTCATTTTCGGATTGCTATGCCTACACCTGCATTTTTGGCTGCTAAGTTTCGTAGGGGACTTAATGGGGAGATAGCGAATCGGATAGCTAGAGCTGCATCCAGAAATTTTGGTACTTTGATCTAGCAGCGCCAAGATATAGAAGATGTTTGTGTGACAAACAAGAAGAGGAAGACTTGAGAGCCAGAGGCAAAGGGATCTAGTGGCTCCATTACTTGGAGGGACAAGGGAAAAGGCAAAGAAAAGCAGTTACCTGCCAGGTAGTCGCCTAATCAGTTCAAGAGGACATCTACTCAACAGGGGAGTACAGCTAGATCTTCCACCATTCCCAGATGTACCGGGTGTGGGAGATCACATGTTGGGCCTTGTTCCACCGGCCAGGTTATTTGCTTAAAGTGTGGCAAAAAGGGCCACTACGCCAGAGATTGTTCCTCACCGGTTGCTACAGCGACACCCATTGTACCACCAGTTAAAGGCCATGTGTACACTTTAGATCGCCAGAAGTCGGATAGAGCGTTGAACCTTATGAGAGGTATTGTTTCTATCGGTGGTTGTGACGTAGGTGTGTTATTTGTTTTCGGGGCTATGCACTCTTTCATTGCAGACCCGATTGCGATGGGGCTTAAGTTGCCAATTTTTGTGCTTTCTCCACCTTTGCGAGTTACTACTGCCATCAGGGATAAGTATGATGCTTCATCTATGCACCGTGATGTTGTGTTTCAGTTGGATGGTCGAGATTATTTAGCAGATCTTATTTGTCTATCCATGGTCAACCTTGAGATCATTTTGGGTATGAATTGGTTGTCCAGAAACTGTGTGATGATTGATTGCTATGCAAACAAAGTGATGATGTCTCCTTGTGATTCCACTACTAGTTCTCCTCCTTATTTTTCAGTGCTTCAAGCAAGAAAGGCCTTAAGAGCAGGGGTATATGGCTATGTCATGTTGGAAGGTTTGGTGAGTAGGACTCAAGCAGATATTACCAGTATTCCTGTGGTTAGGGAATTCCTTGAGGTGTTTCCTGAGGAGATTCCTGAGTTTCTGCCACTTCGGGAGATAGAGTTCTCCATAGATCTTTTACCTGGTGTGGGTAGGGTTGGGAAAACGGCCCAACCCGGCTCAACCCGTCCCCACCTGCGTTCAACCCGAAAAAAATGAGTCGGGTTAGGGTTGGCTCGAAAAATAAACGAGCCAGAAAACTCAACCCAACCCGACCCGAGTCGGGTTAGGGTTATCTCGAAAAAATGGAAAAATAAAATAAAATTCCATTGATGCTGTAACTTCTAATTTTTTTTCCTAAATTATTAATTCATTCAATACAAAGACATTATATAGATAAACCATAGAAAATTCCTTTTGCATTTGGACTTGGACTTATTGGCAGTTGGCACCCCATTCACGGTGTCACACATATTATAAAAAGGTCCTTAATGCACGGTTTTGGACTTATTGGCAGCTGCAGGGTATTTTCGTTTGGATCTTTGGAATTATAATTTTAGGTTTTAGCTTTGCAATTTACCTTCATTAATTTTTATACTTTTATATTAAAAAAAACCATAACCCGCGAGCTAACCCGTTTGACCCGTGGGTTGGCTCGATTTTTTTCGAGCTGAAACGAGTCGGGTTGACTCGAGTTACTAACTCATTTTCCCTAACCCGATGGGTTGGCTCATTTTTGCCAAGCCTAGGTTTGGGGTAGCGGTGTTCATTAACCGATCCAAACCAATTCAAACCGCGGAAACCGAACCGAAAAATCGATAACCGAATAAACCGAAAACCGAAAAACTGAAAACCGAAAAAAACCCGCAAATTTTAATTGGATTGTATCGGTTTTTGGTTGGGTTGATGAAAACCAATCCAATCCAAACCGATCCAATATATTAATTTCCCTCTGTATACTTGGGTATTTTCCTAATCATAACCTAAAAATTTTTAGACCCAAGACTCATTAACCCATCAATTAGACCCAAGAAAAAATCTAATCACATCTCATCAACAAAATTTTATCTTTGTCGAGCTTTATATCTCATTGCTAAAAAAATATATATTATAGTTTACTAATACTTTCGTATTTAAAAAAAAAATTACAAAGCCAATATATACAAAAGATGTTATTTGCACAATAATCATGAAATAAATTTTAAAATTTTCAAAAAACCGAAAACCGATCCAATTCAAACCGAAAAAAATTGGATTGGATCAGATCGGATTTAAAAAAAATTCAAACCGAATGGATGATTATATGATCAAACCGAAGGGATCAGATCAGATGAATTTTGCTTCCAAAACCGATCCAATCCAGACCGCAAACACCCCTAGTTTGGGGCCTATTTCATTAGCTCTATACCGGATGTCTCCACCTGAGTTAGCAGAGTTAAAAAAGCATATTAAAGATCTTTCCGTGAAAAACCTCATCCGATCTAGTGTGTCTCCTTGGGTAGTACCGGTCATCTTTGTCAAAAAGAAAGATGAGAGCATACGATTGTGCACCGATTACAGGAAGTTGAACAATGTGACAATCAAGAACAAGTATCCCCTCCCACGTATTGACGATCTTTTAGATAAGCTTAGGGGTGCTTGCGTGCACTCAAAGATTGATCTTCAGTCCGGATACCATCAGATCCGAGTTAAGCAGGATGATATTCCTAAGGCCGCGTTTCGTTCGAGATACGGTCATTATGAGTATTTGGTGATCCTGTTTGGACTCACCAATGCATTGGCGGTATTCATAGATTACATAAACCTTATTTTTCAGCAGTACTTGGATTATTTTGTGATTGTCTTCATTGACGACATATTGATTTACTCCAAGAGCAAAGAAGAACATGAGGAGCACTTGAGAATTGTATTGCAAATACTGAAAGAGAAGAAACTTTATACAAAGCCGTCGAAGTGTGAGTTTTGGCTCACTTAAGTGAAATTTCTTGGGCATGTCATTACTGCAAGAGGAGTGGCAGTAGACCCAAACAAAATAGAGGTAGTATTAGATAGTGAGAGACCCAAATCAGTTATGGAAGTGAGGAGTTTCTTGGGTTTGGCAGGCTACTATAGGAGGTTCATTGAGGGATTCTCCAAGATGATGTTGCCACTTACTCGCCTTACCAGGAAGGAGACTCCGTTTGTGTGGACTCACGAGTGTGAGGAATGCGTCTAGGAGCCGAAGGATAGATTTACAACTGCACTAGTGTTGATCCTTACTGATCCTGCGAAAAAGTTTGAGCTATATTGCGATGTTTCAAAGGAGGGGCTAGGTTGTGTATTGATGCACACTTGTAGAGTTATTGCTTATGCTTCGAGGCAGTTAAAGCCTCATGAGGAGAAATACTCGACTCACGATCTTGAGTTGACTGCTATTATTTTTTCCTTTAAGATTTGGAGGCACTACCTGTATGGAATGAAATTTACGGTGTTCAGCGATCATAAGAGCTTGAAGTACCTTTTTGATCAAAAGGAACTAAACATGACACGGTAAAGATGGATGGAATTTCTTAAGGACTACGACTTTAAGCTGAAGTACCACCCAGGCAAGGCCAATGTGGTATCTGATGCTTTGAGTCAAAAATCTGTTAGTCTATCTAGCTTAATGATTAATGACTTTGATGTGATTGAGAAATTTCGATACTTGATAGTGACCTCTTTTTTTGGGGGTGCACTTTTGAAGATGGAAACCGTGAGAGTTAAAAATGAGTTAATGGATAAGATCAACGAGGTGCAGGTGCAAAGTGAATGTCTTGATTATGTAAAGAACCAAGATGGTGTGTCTTGAAACGATAAGAGATTGTTAATATTTCAGAACAGGATGGTGGTACCTAGGGGACTGTTGACGGAGGGGTGATGTCAGAGGCTCATAAAG